ACTTTGGCCTCTGCGGCAGGGAGGTTCATGGCCGGCCTCCTGAACTTTTGTAGTTGGGACGTCAGGAGCCGTCCCTTATTGGTGGGGCTATGTTATGATTTGTGTCTGTGTTAATGTTTTATTTTAGTTTTCTGTCTTGTCATCTGTTTTCTTCCTCCTGTCTGCCTGTGCTCCAGCCCCGCCCACTCACACCTGATCCTCATGTTTCTCCCCCAGGTGTTTACTGTTTGTAATCATTAGTTTCTCCTTTATATTGTTCTCTGTCTTCAGTCTTTGTCAGATCTTTGTTCTCTGTTGTGTTGTTCATGTTGTCTCAAGTTAAACCTTAGTATCTTGTTTGCTGCCACGCCAGCTTTTTGATTTTGTTTAATAAAGCCCTTTTGCACTTTTTTTGCCTGGATCATTTCAGTTCTGCACTTGAGGTTCTAACCAACCTAGCCCTTCATAACGGTTTCAACAACAAAGAACCCATCCAGAGGAGCTGAGTCAATTTATTTATTATTTTTTTGGACAATCTATTTTCACTAGGGGTGCACAGATTGCAGTTTTCTGGCTGATCGCCAGTCTTAAAAAATCTGACCTGCTGATTCCGATTTTGTCCGATAATTTTTTTTTAAATAGCTGACACTGTCAGATGCTCACAATACAACCTCAATGTTCCAATTTTATTTTAATAACATTGAACACAACGCTTGAAACAATACAAACTTGTTTTACTGGACATTAGTTAGTGCTCATAGCAGAACAAAGGGAGACAGTGGCTGATTTTCCACCTTGTGGACGTAGAGAAGCTGATCTTTCCCACTGATCTTATCTAAGGATCGGCATACATGTTAACTTGTACAGATTGTCCTTAAAAGGATTTTACATAATTTTGCAGGTACAGTATACGGACGTATAGAGCAATCTCACAAATTTTTTTCAGTTCTTACAGATTTTTTCAAAACCTCATTTTTAAATTCATCTAACATGTCATAGGATGATTTAAATAACAACAAAACATCAGCCATCTTCCAACTTGTTCTGCTGCTAGAAATAAGTTTTGAACTTTTTACTCTCCTCTCCTCCTGCTTCGCAGCGGGCGCACATGTCCGCAGCCGACAGACCCCCCCCCCCCCCCCACCCCACCCCACGGGTGCAAGTTGTATGGACTTTTTTCAAAATGTACGCATTTGAGGCTTTTATACAGGGAAACGTCTCCAATCGATCTCCAATCTCCCAAAATCAAGGAAATTGGTGCTGATAAATCGTCCGATTTATTGGTGCACCCCTACTGCTGACCATAACTGACTGGTTTTCAGCTTGACTGGTTACCAACCACTGCAGACCTCTGATCAGTGAACACATCGTACCTTCTTTCAACAGAGATTAGCACAGAGAGCAGCTTCCTGAAACAACCTGGTCTCAGACCCCATCCTCAGGACTACAACACTGCAGCACCCTACTACCACTACTGCAGCCTCAGGTAACCAGTGTTGTTTTTCACTGCCATTTTTAGTCTTAGTCTTTTGAACAAAAATACTTCTTAGTTTTAGTCATTTCTGTATTTAATGGTTTTAGTCGAGTTTTAGTTGACAAAAGCTTTAAAAATTGTTTAGTTTTAGTCTTAAAAAAAGACAACACATTAGTCTTCGTTACAAATTAATTTGAATAATTTGTGTTAACATTTGTGAATTTGTTACTCTAAAAATGCCCAAAACAAAAACATTCTCACTTTGTGGCTTTATTTCTCAGAATTTGCTAAAGTGCAATGAACAAAGACAATACACACATGCCCAATATTATAAACAATAAAGGGGAACACACATGTTCAACTCAGACTTGTCAGCCAGGACAATTAAGATGCATCTTATTTATAAAAACGGACATCATGCAGTCCTAAACTTAGTAGACTAATACTACAAACGAGTGTTTACATGCACCAGGCTTTTATTCAGAACAGAAGCACTGACATGTGCAGCTGCTAACTCCCCCCGCCAAAAAAATGTTTTACTTTCATCATGAACGTAAACAAACAGCTTCTGAGCTCAGAATGGACCTGCTGCAGCTTTTAATAATGGTGGAGACGTTACTCCCTGGTTAAGCTACAGGTGAAAGACTGACTTTTTTGTGAAGCGGTGCAGACTGTTTGTCCTCCCTTTTTTCTGAATGAGAGGAGGAAATGGTGTGTGTGTAACAGCGCTGCTGTCCCTCCCTCCACTCTGCATTCTAAATGATTGACAGACCACCTACTAACACTTTCGTCCAGTCTCGTCTCGTCAACGAAAACTCACACGTTTCGTCATGTTTTAGTCATCGACGAGCTACGTTTATTTCTTTACCGTCTCGTTATCATCGTGAAAAAGGGGCGTCAATGAAAATATTTCGTCATTGTCATCGTTAACGAAAACAACACTGCAGGTAACACGTGACAACTCAGCTGCTAATTAGCACCTTGAACTCAGCTGTTGATACAGATGCAGACAGATCTGTTTGTCAGACTCCAAGGTCAAACTGTCAGGTCAAAGGTCATCAGTGTCAGCTCACATCAACAGTGTTTGAAACAAAGTGGACTTGATGAAAGACGTCAGAGGAGGACATCAGTGTTTAAAATCTTTAAAAAGTGAAACTAGAATTTGCCAACCTATAAGAAATAAGTTCTGGGAAATCTTTGCTGAAACTAAAAACTCCCCCGGATGGATCAGAACCAAACATTGGACTGTTCTGAAGTTGCCTTCTGAGTCCTGATCTGAATCCTGTGGAACATCTGTGGAAGGAGCTGAAGCATCTGGAGATGGAACCCTTTAGTGTTCATGTATTTTTTGCAATAAAAATATATTTCTGTTGTTTTAGTATTTTTTCCTCTGTAAGTTTTAAGTTATTTCAATGACCTCTGTTTTTTTCTTATTTTGCCAAGACGTTAAAAAGAAAATTGTCAGTAACTGTGTGAACAGAGGCAGGATCATTTCTATGTATTGATTCAAAGAGAGGCGGCCATGAACTGATGCAGTTTTGAGGATTAAATCTGGATGTATTGGTTTATTACATCTCTGTACAAATAACACCACAGCTATTTAATAACTGAAGAAGAAGTCTGTGAGCAGGTTTCACTTCTACAGACACCTACGATGAAAAGAACAGAAATTATGTTTGTGTAAAAAAAATCTTCCTGTTCAGGAGGAAACCTTCAGTTTAAACGGCGAACACTGAAATGTTTTCATCCTGCTTATTTTCCAGGGACACAGTTTAACTTGTGTTTTATTATGTTGAATGCAGAAAGTGTCCTTTTGGAGCTATCTGCAGTTACTGAAAGAAGAATAAATCCATCTGCTGCTGGCAGTTTGATTAATTTTTCACAAGGCTTCATTTTTGTGTAAAGTTAGTTTATGAGTCGGTGTTTATGAAAGCACATTGTAATATTAAAACAATGACCTGTTTGTGACTGGTTTTGTTTCTTTAGAAAGAAAAATAATTGTCTCGATAACTGATGTAAATATTTAACTTTGTTGTGATTTAATTAAACTCGTACAAAAAAAAGGCTTAATCGGACTTTATTGTATTAAAAAAAATGCTGAATGATACAAACGTCTGTGTTGAGATGTGTGCCGTTGACCACAGAGGTTCTGTGTGAAGGCTCAGAGAGCTGTCATGGAACATGATGTGTGTTTGAGGTGAGGGCTGCAGCCGTGAACAGTGTTCACCACAGAGGATCCAAACAGGTCTCCAGGTCCAAACATGAGCTGCTTCATTTTTCAACATGTTTAAAAAAAAAATCCTCAAAAACGTCTCAACTATTTGTCCACTTCTGCAGTATTATCGCTGCACACTGACACACATCACCCCAGGGGTGATGTGTGTCAGTGTGCAGCGACGATACTGCAGAAGTGGACAAATAGTTGAGACGTTTTTGAGGATTTTTTTAAACATGTTGATTAATTAATTAATTATTTACTAAATAAATAAATAAATAAATAAACCTCAAGCCCCACATGGACCCACAGAACCAGGTCTATCTGACCATAAGTAATAAAACCTGGTCTAAATCTGACCATCTTCCTTCCACAGTGCTGAGATTTGATCATGAGTGCGGTGTCAGCTGCAGGGTGGGAACAAACTGACAGATGTTCATGTAAAGTGGTGGTGGTAGTAGCTGAGCCTGATCCTCACACCGAGCTGTCAGAACCAAACAGAACTGACTTATTAAACTCAGTCCCGTGAGCAGAAGATTCTGGTTTTATGAAGCTCAGAGCAGAAGAACCTTTTATTTTGAAAGCTTTGGACCAGGATGAAAATAAACATGTCGGTTCTGAGCAGCCGGCAGCAGAAGCAGGAAAGATCGCGGGTCAGAACCACGGCAGTGTTCAGAACACCAGGGTTCGGACAGAGCGCAAGCAGAACCAGAAGTGATAGTGTCCAAAATAAAACATCCTGCTCTGCGTTAGAAATGGACCTGAGCCCCGAACCGTCGGGACTGCAGGACGGGTGAGGGCTCGGCGGCTCTGATGCGCAAAATCCAGGCGGTTACGCATAAATTCTGACGGTGAACTCCCAGATTGACGTCATTTGGACCCACGGAACACAGAATAACTGTTCGTGTCCAACACGGCTGAGACTCCAGGAGGAACCAAATACTGGTCTTGGTTCGACTAGAGCCAGAGCGATCAGAACGGGTCCAAGTCTGTCCGCCGAACCTCTGTAGAGTTCTGGTTCAGGTGGACCTACCCACCCGCGCGCACAGAACTCAAGCGCCACATCCACCGCAGCGCCACGCGCGCAGAGGGGCGCACAGAACACGGCTGGTCCCGGAGCGGACAGGCTCCTCAGAGGTTCTGTGTGAGGACCAACCAGAACCAGAACCAGAACTTTACACAGAATGTGTGCACCAGTCACCAGAAAGCTGAGGTTTTAGAGCCCAGAACCAGAGGACTGCAGTCCAACAGAACCAACTAAAAAAACTGCAGCTGATCCCAGAACCACCACAGAACCCTGACAGAACCAGAACCTGCCCGAACATGACTCACCTGATAAACACACAATCAGATTAGCGTGAAGAATGATGAGAATCTCCCAGATTAAATCCATCCTGTGTCTTCATTCCACGCGCATCACGCACAGAGCCAGAGGAGGAGGAGGACACGGCAGAGACACGGAGCGGTACCTGGTACCTAGCACGCGCTGAAGTCCGGTCCGACCAGGCTGGATCCCGCTGCTGAACACCTTCCACCAGGTATTATCCACAGCACGCACATAGCAGGTGATCCGGAACCAGAAGAGCGACAACAATCCGAACAGATGAAGACAAACAAGCAACTCCACAAAAAAAGAAAGAAATGAAATCAGAGAAAAACCCAAAAAACGGACAAATTATCCTCCGAACTCTGTCTTATTCCAGAACCCTGGATGGGACCCGTCCGTCCGTGCGTCCGTCCGGTTCCGTTTCAGAGCGGAGGACCCGTCTGTCAGCAGCCAACAGTGTGGGGGGGAGGGG